ATCTATTATCTTTTATTTCATCTTAATAATATTTATGTCTGTATTATTCTCAATGTGTCAATGCTTATATTATTAATTCTTTTCACAATAATAATTTATTAAATAAGTTATAAATGTAAACACATTTTTGTCCGATTCGTGACATACCTATTTCATAATATATTTGAATTATATTTTAGATAAAATCAACACAAGTATCATGGGAGGAAAATTTAAATTTTCAATTGATCGAGGCGGTACTTTTACAGACATCTATGCTAAATGTCCAGATGGAAAAGTTCATGTTATGAAACTTTTGTCGGTTGATCCAACTAATTATGCAGATGCTCCACGTGAAGGCATAAGAAGAATATTAGAAGCAGTAAAAATCTTTGATGACACAAAAATAAAATTGYATCTTAAAAAAAATATACTTATYATTTTAGGAAACTGGAAAAAGTATGCCACAAAATGAGCCAATTGATAGTAGTTATATAGAATGGATTCGAATGGGTACAACTGTTGCAACAAATGCTCTTCTGGAACGGAAAGGTGAACGTATGGCTCTGTTAATCACTCGTGGTTTCAAAGACTTATTATACATTGGAAATCAAGCTCGTCCAAAAATATTTGATTTAGTAAGGATTGTAGAATAATTATTTCTGATACTTAATACAATTAAATAATGTTTTTTAGGAAATTGTAGTACCAGATGTTCTTTATGAAGAAGTTATGGAAATAGATTGTAGAGTAATTAATTCAAAGTGTGAAAAATGTGATCAGCTAACTCCAATTTGGAGTGATAAGCCTATTGTCCAAGGTGTCACTGGTGAAGATATATTAATTTTAAAACAAATCGATGAAACTGCTCTAAGAAATGACTTAACTTTATTAAAATCTAAAGGAATTAATAGTATTGCTGTAGCTCTAATGCATTCTTACACGTTAGTATAATTAATATTATGTATACACCTAAAATGTATACCTTTTATTTATTTATTTTATTGTACAAATAGTAAGTCATTATTTCTTGTATTTTTGAGTTTATACATGTATAAACAAAAAATATTTTAAAGTATAATAATAATACCAAAAAAATTCATAACTTATAAATATTGTTATTTTTTCAAAAATATTTCTTGTATTTATTATTTAAATACAGGTATAATGAACACGAGCGTACTGTAGGAAGAATAGCTAAAGAAGTTGGTTTTGAACATGTATCTTTGTCTCATGAAGTAATGCCTATGGTGAAAATTGTACCACGAGGGTATACAGCTTGTGCAGATGCTTATTTAACTCCACATATAAAAAAATATGTTAAAGTAAATTTCTAATATTGATATTTATATTGTATATTAATTAATACAATTATAATTACATTTTATTTAGGGTTTTGCTTMAGGATTTAAAAATAATTTAAAAGACATTAATATATTATTCATGCAAAGCGATGGTGGACTAACGCCAATGAATAGGTAAAAATATCATTTTTAAGGCACCATTTTTTGCATATTTTTAAATAAAAAATGTTTAGTTTCAATGGTTCAAGAGCTATTTTATCTGGCCCAGCTGGTGGTGTGGTTGGATACACAGCAACTACTCCTTATAAGCCTGTTATAGGCTTTGACATGGGTGGTACATCGACTGATGTTAGTCGCTATGATGGAGCATTTGAACATGTTTTTGAATCAATAACTGCTGGTGTCACAATTCAAGCCCCTCAAGTATAAATATTATTCATACCCCAAATTTATTTTTATCTAATCTATTTTATTTAGAATGTTTTATTTTTTTAGCTGGATATAAATACYGTTGCAGCTGGCGGGGGAAGCAGATTATTTTTTAGATCAGGATTATTTGTCGTTGGACCTGAAAGTGCTGGAGCTCATCCAGGACCAACATGTTATAGAAAAGGAGGTCCATTAACTGTTACCGATGCTAATCTAGTTCTTGGTAGACTGTTACCTGAATATTTTCCATCAATATTTGGCAAAACTGAAGACATGCCATTAAACAAAGAAGCATCCTTAGAAGAATTTGAAGCCCTTACTAATGAAGTATAATATAAAATTATGAATTAAAAAAGTTGAAAAATTATTTTATACAGATAATATCTGGAAACAGGTTAACAACTTTGTAAGACTTCAATCTAAAAGTTCAAATSTAATGACCCTTGAAGAAGTTGCGATGGGATTCATAAAAGTTGCAAATGAATCAATGTGTCGTCCWATTAGAGCTCTAACTCAAGTGAATTTCAATGTCATAATGTTATTATTATTTAYTGATTTTATACTTTATACTTAACCACAGGCAAGAGGATATGACACCAGACAGCATACACTGGCCTGTTTTGGAGGTGCTGGTGGACAACATGCTTGTGCTATTGCACGTTCCTTAGGAATTAGTCGTGTGGTTATTCATAAATATGCTGGCATTCTGTCTGCCTATGGTATGGCATGTGCTGATGTTGTTCATGAGGTTCAAGAGCCTTGTGCATTAACATATGACATTGGTAAAAAATTACTGTTGCTCATGTAGTCATGTTATATATTATACTACATTSCATTATTACATATTATTTAAGATAATATAGTATTTGATTGTTTTAAAAATTTGCTAAAAACAAATATTTTTATTATTAGAAAACTTTGAATATTTCAATGAACGAATCACTGTTTTGAGTTCAAAATGTATTGATGAATTAAAAAAACAAGGTTTCTCAGATAATCAACTTCACACTGAGCCATTTTTACATTTAAGATATGAGGGTACAGATTGTGCTCTTATGTGTTCAGCCAGTTATGATAGTACAGTAAACACTAGAACAATTCACGGAGATTTTTTAAGTGGATTTCTGACAAGGTTTTTATGTTGTTTTGTGATGTCTATAATACTGTAATTATTTTGTCATTGGAATTATTCAAATTTGAAATATATTATAGATACCAAAAAGAATTTGGATTCACTCTATCTGGGCGTAAAATATATGTTGATGATATACGTGTGAGAGGTGTTGGTAAGACATTGTTAAACATTGACAATGAAGAAGATGAAACTGAAGAACCTCTACAAATTGAAGCAGTAAATACTTTCTTTTAAAAAATAATACTTTTAAAATTTTAAATTACAATAAATAGAAAAATGAAAATTATACTTTAATTTTTAATTAATTTTACTTTTAAGGTTAAACAAGTATATTTTGAAGACTTGGGTTACATAGATTGTAATATTTATCTCTTTAGCAAGTTGCGTAAAGGTCATATTATTATTGGTCCAGCGGTGTTAATGGACAAATTGAGTACAATATTAGTCGAGCCTAAGTGCAAAGCTATAATAAGTAAATCTGGCGATATTGGTATGTTTCAATTATTGTATTCAATTTAATTGCACTGTTTTTATTAAATAATTTTGTTATATTTTTTTAGAAATCGAAGTTAACTGTGATGCACTTACTAAAATTGGGGTTGAACTTGAACCAATCCAGTTAAGTATTTTTTCTCATAGATTCATGAGTATTGCAGAACAAATGGGAAGGTAAGCATTTTTTTTTAGTTTTTACATGCAATTTCAGCATTAGTTTTGTATTGATAGAATAATGATGATAATAGATGAAGAATAATTTTTCTTTTCTTCAGCAACATGTATGGTGTGAAACAAAATATGTGTCTTGAATTAAAGAGTAGAAAAATTTGTCATTTTATGCGTGTTAACTCCCATTAACTTGAGGAAGTTAGTGTCACGGTTCTGTGCAGTCAGGTAGCTCAGTGGTAAAGTAATTGTCTGGCAAGCAAAAAACGCAGGTTTTGATTACCAGTTGAGCGGCTTGATTTTTAATTAACATACACAACAAAATAGAAATCATCTTATTGTGTATATTTATTTACTCATATCATTTCAAACCTTTTGAGTCACCAATTATGATATACTGAGCTGACTGATAACTAGCTAATTTAAAGTCAAACATTAATATAAATGTTGTTTTCAATTATTTTAGTCCATCTAAAAGTAAATCATCATCTCATCACAAATCAAATAGCAGCAGCAATCATCATAGCAGTAGTAATCGTCACAGTAGTAGTAGTGGAGG